GGGGGGGGGGGGGGGGGCCTCGGCCCTCCGGCGGGGCGCTGCGGGCCACCCGGACACGAGCAGGAGCTGACGCGGCAGTCAAAGTGCAAGGCACAGTGCACGTGGGGGAGTTGGGTGCATGCTCATAGCGCGTCATTGAGTCGCGAAGTCAGCGGCGGGAGCCCTGTGGCTTGCGCTGTGCTGGAGCCGTCGGTGCCGTGGGCTGGGCGATGTGAGGCTCGCCGCACCTGCCCCTGGCTTCTTGAGGCTGACGGAAGGCAGCGGGAAGCGGCCAGGCACAAAGGCCGTGTTGAGCGCCTCCCCGAGCTGCTCCGCCTTGCGGAGGAAGAGCCTGTCGCCGGAAAGTGCATGCGCGGAGAGCAGCCCGCCCAGGCCGCGGATCGTCATCTCGAAAGTCGAGACCGACCGCGCCTCGCGGCCGGCGGGCGTGTAATCAATCTCCTCGACGATCGAGCGCGCCTGCTTGAACTCGGCCGTCAGGTTCATCAGCCAGAGGGTGTCCAAACAGTCGATCGCCATCATGCCCACGGAGCCCCAGTCGTTGACGCCGCGGTGCGAGAGGGGCCTGAGCGAGTCGAAGCCGCGTGCGTGCTTGTAGTAGGCTGCCCAGGTCGAGCGGCCCTCCTCGCGGACGGCGTTCGCCGCCTCGGCGAGGCTGTCCGGCATGGGTGGCAGCGCACCAGCTACGGCGGCGGCGGCAGCCAGCATGGCGAGCCGCGAGCCGCGATGTTGCCGGCGGCGCTGCCGGCAGACAGACTATGGCGAGTCGAGGCCCCGCTCCTCCCAGGGTACCCTCTCCGAGGACCCATTGGGTAGGCGTGTGAGAAGTGGATTTCGCTTTGAGTTGCGCTCTCGCGAGCGCCGATCCTGCATGATGTAGCCTCTCCGGCGGCGGCCTCCAGGCAACCCGACGTCCGCGCGCGCGCGGCTGGCCTGCAGCAGCCCTATCGGGCGTGCCTCTCCGCGTGCGGCGCGGCTTGGAACGTCACCGCAGCAGACCCTCGGCTGCTCACGCGCGCTCTCTCTGGCCGTCGACCCGGCTGCCGAAAGTCAAGCTGTCATTTCCTATCGCCGCCGACCGGCAGAGCCCGTGCCCAGCCTCCTTCCTGGCGGATCTGGCCAGAGAAATCGCGGCTCCAAGGAGTTCCAAAGCGTCTTCTCTGCTCGCGCTTTCGGGCTCGACCCCTGCGCGCCAGAGAGCCCAGCCGGGTGTGTCGTGCGCTGTGTGCGGCGCGCGCGTGTTGTATAGTACTCTGAACTTATACTATAAACTACTATAGCGTTCCGCGCGCGCGCCGCGCGCCGGACACAATTCTCAATGCGAGCCCCTCGCGAGCCAGACGCGCAGCGTCAGACAGAGATGCACGACCTTCTGGCGCGCCACCGCTGTCAAGCGTGCGCAACACGCGCCGATTGCGAGTCTCCATCGATCCTTCCCGGACTGCCGCGCGGGAGAGACCCGCCGGCTGAGATCTGGCTCTCTTCGACGCCGCCTGCGCGTCTGCGCGCAATGCCTTGCGGCCGCTGCACCTCCAGCGCGCCGGAGATAAACTGCGATGCTTGACTGGTCGCTCAACCGAGCACTCAGACGGGCTTTGCGCCGTCCGCGCGCTCGATTGAGTGTATCTTTGGCCGTGCGGGCTCGATGAGCGGCTTCCCTCAGTTGCTCCCCCCCATCCCCACGCCTCCGGGTCGTGCGTACCGCCTTCGGGCGTGAGTGTCCCCCCAGCGTCTGCTCTCCAGCAGACGCTCCGGTAATCAGGCCGAGAGTACCAGGCAGGTGGGGAGAAGAGCCCAGGGAGGGGAGAGGGGAAGAGCCCAGGGAGGGGGGAGGAGAAGAGCCCAAGGCGGCCTCCCTCTCCCTCCCCTCCCACCGCCCACCGGGCCTCCCTCTCCCTCTCCTCCCACCGGGCCTCCCTCTCCCCCTCCTACCGCCAAGCACCATCAGTCTCGAGGGGCCAGCCGCTGGAAGGGGCAAGCCAGCGGCACGAGGGCTTCAGCCACACAGCTACCAAGGGAACGCGACCCACACAAAGCACCAAAGTTAGGCACACCCCCCGGCGCAGTGTCCCCCGCTATGTGTCGCCGTTTGTCGGGGCACGCTATCCTGTGCAGTCAGGGCAAGTGGGGGCGGGGTGGACAGCCCAGGCCAGATGCCCTGGGATCTCTCTGCTCAGTCCGGGGGTGCGTCGAACCTTCCATCACCCTGGGAACGTCCGGGTGTTGGAAGTAAAGATATATTACTTTTGCCATTTTTCTTTTTTTGAGGGCAGAGAACGCCGGGTTTGTCTTGTGTGTGCGTGTGGGGTGTGTTCGTGCGGGGCGGCGAAGGGCGGGGGCGCGCAGTCCGCAGAGCAGAGGCTCGACGGCCATCGGCTCGTCGAGGTTGGAGAGAAAGGGAAGGGGGGGTCGGGCGGTCGGCGAGGGGGTTAGTCGCAGGGCGTATGGGGTCGAGACCTGGTCCGAGCCTGAAGCTGGCTGTCTCTTTCTCGCTTGGGGACCCGCTGTGTGGTGCGGGGCGCGGGCCCACCTGCACACAGCTGGGACGACGGCAATATGAACACCCAGGCGGGACGAACGCGGAACGGCAAAAACCAATGAACACCCAAGGGTGAAGCTGTCTCTCACGACCTCAGATACACACACATTCAGGACAAAATGTACACACGCAAGTTTGAGAGCGAGCTGTGTGATCGAAGAGAAGGCAGAAGCCACACACCATACCAGTACTGCCGCTAACTGCTACTCTGCGGTTTGTTTGTCACAATAATGATCAAGTGTGCAGCAGATTCACGCTGCCCGCCAGTGGCGCCTCAGTGCTCACAGCCCAAGGGGGCGAACGTCAGCGGCAGCCATCGTCGGCGGCTCGGAGGTGTCGAGCGGCGGCATTGGCGTCCCGTCCTCCGTCTTGCCTACCAGGGGGCTAGGGCACCACTCACGATTACGGCCGCACGAGTCCCTCTCCGCCACCACTGCACTCGCGCCCCAAAAGTCGTCGGGTAAGTTGCCATCGAGGTCGCTCGCCCAGCAGGCGGCCTGCGGCGAGGCGAGAGGCGCAGGCAGTGTGCGTGCGCCCCGTCCAGCCGCACTCACAGCTGTGCTGTGGTCTGGAGCTTGTGGGGGGGACGCAAAAGGCGGCTGCGGAGCTCCCGCGCAAGCAAGGTCACACCGCGGGCGGCGGCTGGGGGCTCCGCGAGACAGCACGCGCCTGGTACTGCTTGCAGATGACCTCCCAGTTGGGGGTGTGCATCTCCCTCGCCCGGTGGTTGTCGAGCGGGATGAGCCGCACCATCTCGTCCACCCTAGCTCACGCGGGGGGGGGGGGGGGGGGGAGTCCCAAGCGGGTGTGGGCGAACCATTTTGTAAAAACCCCCCTCTTAAGCCCCCGGGGGGGCGGCGAAAGCCCAAGCCGGCGGGCAAACCGCCAAGGAACCGCCAAGGCCCCCCATGAACTTTGGGGCGTACTGCATCCCGTTGGCCATCGCGGTCTGGAAGTCCTGGATGGCCGCCTTCGGCGTGAAGTGGACGGCCGGGTCGAACCACTCGGCGTGCGTCTCCACGTTCCGGTCATTGAAGCCCGTGGTGAAGGGCGCCGGGTTGATGGTGCACACCTGGGTGGGGCTGGCACTCTGTTGCGCAGTGGTACTGGGCGCCGCCGGCGTGCGCCAGCCAGGTCACGCGCTCTCCGCACGAGTGGCACGGCTTCGGGACCTGCGGGCCAGCTCTCGGGGCACAGACCTTGACACCACTCGAGGCGAGCTCCTGCCGCAGCGTCAGAGCCATCGCCTCCACCGCGTGCTTGGACATGCAGTACGCGCCAAGATACGGCACCGTGAAGAGACCTGCGATGGACGACAGAAAGACAATCTTGCCCGCCCCCTTTGCGACCATCGCGGCGGCGTATGGCTGCACAAAATCGAGCTGAGAAAAGACGTTGACCTCGAACTGGCTGCGCAGCCTCTCAGTCGGAAGCTCGGCGAGCGGCCCTCCCTCGCCGACGGCGGCGTTGCACACGACGATGTCCACAGACTCGCCAAACCTGTTGAACACGGCCTCGCGGTCGCTCGCCAGCGTGACGTCGAGCTTTGCCGTCTCGAGCTGCACCGCACGCCCGCGCGCCTCTGCCATCAGCGTCGAAATCTGCGGATGGATGTGGCAGGCGGCGATGACGCGGTGCCCGGCGGCGGCGAGGCCGAGAGCCGACCCGGCGCCGAGGCCAGTCCCGGCGCCGGTGATGAGGATCGTCTTCCCGGAAGACGACGCAAAAGCTCGGGAGGCGCCCGAGCGGGCGGCGAGCGCAGCGCGCATATGTGTGTACAGGGTACAGGAATCCCTCTCGTCGAAAAGCGGCGGATGACCTTGTGAGCACTTGAGCACTGAGCACTGGATAGGGTCGATTCCGCATGGTACGGAACCCCATGAACACCCCTGTGCATGCCGTCCGCCACATGGGCTGCCATCGGCATACACAAGGCGCAAGCTCACCGAACGGCGGAACCCAGAAGAAATCGGGCCGCGTCGTTCCCTCCGTCCCGCGTCCGCTGGAGAGAGGTCCATCAGTTTCCGTTCCCCAGGACCTCCTCTCCAACTGCGACCGTGGATCATAGCAAGACCATGTTGAGAGTGCTCATGCTACAAGAGGAGCTTGTTCAGCTGGATCCGGGGCAGTCGGATGCACTACCTCACTGGGCCTGAGAACACCGCACGACATTTGGGGTCACCCGGCTCCAGGATCGAGGTGCACGCCGCCGAGGGACCCCGGAGGGTAGATCGGGCGGTGTCGTCCCCCCTCTCCCATCATCACCTCGGTAATGTGTTACGGGTATCGGTCGCTGATTGAACGCTACTTCTAGACCATCATCTACTCTGCTTACTTCGGCCGTCGGCCGCTCGGTGGTCGAGTGGCTTCCGGATCGAATCGGCAGGTTGACCCATATAATTTTTTTCACACCTGAGCGGGCCCAATTTTGCTCAGATGCACCTTCGAAATCGTGTCTCCTCACGCTTAGCGCTTGGTGTGCGTTCGTTTTTCGGACCCCCCCCCCAGCAGGAGCGCTCTGCCTGTGGGGGGTGCTGGCATCTCTGTACAGACAGCAGCTGTAAGTAGCATGTGTTCCAGTGGCGAGAATTTATGGTCGACACCAAAATCAGTGGTCTCACCGGCGGGCCCTCCTACTGCCAACCGGGCTCGAAGGCGCGGTGAACACAACCGCCTCGAGCGTACGCTCAAACACGAGCCGAGGGTGGAGGGGGGGCGGCGGCGAAGAGGCGGGAGAGCTGGGTCCGTGCGCTCTGCTGCTGGGGGGAGAGGTGAGCTGTACTGCTACGCATATGTAATCGCCCAGAATGCACAGATCGGCCATGTTATGTAAATACGCGCCCGCGATCCATAGTGCGTCGGCCAGACGTCGCGTATTTCGGTGTCGTGCCCGAGCCAAGTGGCGCCTGAGGGAGCTACAAATGTCTTGCGTATTACGAATCTGTCTTCTGCATCCACCTTCGGCCGATCGGGGTGTGCCTCTCAAGGCGCGCTACGCCCCACGTACTACGCACACGCATTCCGGATCGAGTGAGAAGTGGTGGCCGACGGGGGTTACGCCTCACGCATTACGCATACGTTTTACGCATTCGCACGCCCAAGGTGTCGGAGAGGGCCTACGCACCACGTATTACGCACACGCATTCCGGATTCGAGTGAGAAGTGGTGGCTGACGGGGGTTACGCCTCACGTATTACGCATACGTTTTACGCATTCGCACGCCCAAGGTGTCGGAGAGGGCCTCCGCACCACGTACTACGCAAACGCATTCCGGATTCGAGTGAGAAGTGGTGGCCGACGGGGGTTACGCCTCACGTATTACGCATACGTTTTACGCATTCGCACGCCCAAGGTGTCGGAGAGGGCCTACGCACCACGTATTACGCACACGCATTCCGGATTCGAGTGAGAAGTGGTGGCTGACGGGGGTTACGCCTCACGTATTACGCATACGTTTTACGCATTCGCACGCCCAAGGTGTCGGAGAGGGCCTACGCACCACGTACTACGCACACGCATTCCGGATTCGAGTGAGAAGTGGTGGCTGACGGGGGTTACGCCTCACGTATTACGCATACGTTTTACGCATTCGCACGCCCAAGGTGTCGGAGAGGGCCTACGCACCACGTACTACGCACACGCATTCCGGATTCGAGTGAGAAGTGGTGGCTGACGGGGGTTACGCCTCACGTATTACGCATACGTTTTACGCATTCGCATGCCCAAGGTGTCGGAGAGGGCTTACGCACCACGTATTACGCATACGTATTACGCATCCCCCCCCCCCAACCCCCTTTATGTGCGCGCACTGGCGCTGCCGCTAGGGCTGCCATAAGTTGGCTAGGGTTGTATGTGCGCTGGTAACAACAGACTCGGGCATAGCCCTCGACAGCCACCCCCTAACCCCCCAACCCCCCCCCTTTATGTGCGCGCACTGGCGCTGCCGCTAGGGCTGCCATAAGTTGGCGCTGCCGCTAGGGCTGCCGCATAATCATGAGCCTGTCTCCAAACACCTCTCCGACGCGCTCGACTATAGTCCAAATTGGACGGTGGACTATATGTCGGGACGGCGGCCATTTGCTCAGGCGTCAGAATGCTGAGCTCGTACACTGGCAGCTCCGCAGAGGTTGAGGACAGCGGCGGCGGCGCGGTGAGATCGCCGGTGTCCCTGCCCGCCTCCCTGCGGGCGCTGAAGAGCGCCGCCTGCTCGGCGGTGGCGAACATGCCGAGGCTGATATTCTTGCCGCCATCCCACACCTGCAGCTTGTACTTCTTGCGGCCTTGCTCCTTCGGGCAGAAGGTCACGCCTTTGTAGCCTGTGCTGTTGTTGCCGCTGGTGGCCAGAGTCAGGCCCTCCCTCTCCGCCTGCCGTATCGCCTCGAGGCCATCGGCAGTGGGAGCAGCGCGGGGCTGCAGCAGCTTGGCGGCGTCGGCGTGGCCGTACTCTGAGCGAGCGTAGGCGGTGGCCGCCTCTTCGGCGGTGTCGAAGTGGCCGAGGGAGACATCCTTGCCACCATCCCTCGCCCGCGCCACGAACCGGTTTTTGCTGCGGTCGAAGGACACGCCCTTGTAGCCAGTCGTGCTGTTCTTGGCGATGGCTGGGATCAGCACAACGCCCTCTGACGACGCGGTCCGCGGCGGGGCCATCATGCAACGCACGTAGATTCGCAAGTTTGACAATTGGGATTCGTATTGGATTTTAAAACAAGGCTGCGAGTGGCCTGAACATTTGCCACGCAATCATCTGTTTTGGCGAGCACAAAAAGAAAAATACGTAATGCGTAATGCGTATGCGTGATACGTAAGGGGGGGGGGAGGCTTGGGGGCGCGCGCGGGGCGAGATACATAATCCGTAAACGTGAGACGTGGTACGTAAGGCACCCGCCGCGCGGGCCATTGCACCGTCCCCGGGGCAAAGCTTTGCGGTGAAAAGGACGTATGCGTAATGCGGATACGTGATACGTCGAAGACGCCCCGCCCTCCGCGGGCCGCGGCGCACCGGCGGAGATCCATAATCCGTATACGTGACACGTGGTACGTATGACGCAACCACAGGGCCATCGCACCGCCACGCACGCGATGATTACGTGTATGTATTGACGTTTTCTATTTATTTTTGAAGGGGGAGGCGTTCGACGGGCTGCGTAATGCGACGCATTTGGACTGGCAAGTGACGTCCCCGCCCCGGGTTTAGGTTTCCCCGGGAGGGGGAAATGTAATGGGTCGGCATAGGGGCCTCCGGGCATCCGCGTACCAGTAAAGCTCCCGTTTGGCGGGGGGGGGTGGGGCCCCCCCCCCCCAGCAGCAGCGTTTTGTTGCTGGGGGGGTCAGGCCCCCCCCCCCCCCCAGCAGCAGCGCTCTGCTGCTGGGGGGGTCAGACCCCCCCCCTAGCAGCAGGGATGGCTTTAGATGTGCAGGGGGGGTACCGAGCAATGTGCGGCCGCTCTGTGTTGTGTGCCTTCACGCCGTCATCATCGATCGTCGCTGGTGCGGTCTTCGAGCGGCTCCGTCCGCTCCCGCCGCCGCTCGCCGCACCAAGCACACGCCGCTGAGCAGACTCGCAGGTCAGAGTGGCGGCCGGACAGTCGGTGCTGCTCAGCGGCGACAGACCAACGTGCACGCCGCCTTTGCGCGCCGCGTTGCGGAGCGAGGCCGTGTGCGTAGTCTCCGAGGGTTAGCCCCGCGTACCAGGTTTCCCTTAACTGCAGGACGCCCCCTCTACTCGGAGCTAGTAATACGAGAATACTCTCTGAGGGTTGACCAGGCAGGTGATCCGCTGAACCAAGTGTGACAGAAGAGAAATTACGGAAGAAATCGGCTCGCGCGTGGACGATATCCGTCGGCCCCGGCCTGAACCACTCCGAGAAGTGCACGATCAGCCACACCTTCTCCAGCCCGGCGCGCCTCTCGCGCAGATGCATTGGTCCTGCGGGGATCACCATCCTGTGGTTTGTGGCATGCTCTGTGTGTAGTACTCGCTTAGTGTGATCTGTGATCTGTAAGGGTCCGCCCGCAGGCGCATTTTGTATACCGAGGCGGTGCCCGGTGCCGAACCTGTCGGACCTTAAGACAGCATTGTAGATCCCTGGGCGAGGGTGATGGAGAGGGCGGTCTGTCGGCGCGCTAAACCGTAACCCGCCGGGGCGGGCCGGATCCACGCGCTGTCGGGCCGCCCTGTCGGAGGTAGACCGCTCGTCTAGCCAATCAGCCTTAAGCGAGCGGTCTGGCCGTTGGAATGGCCGAGTTTGGTGGACTTGCGTCCTCGCATCGATCGTGGTTGTAGGGATATCGTTATGAACAACAATCACCACATGGGGAGGCGGCTGTCTCTGAAGGCGAACCTCAGTTACGAGCCACCCCCCCTACTTGCCTCCTCTTTGTTCCCTGGCTTTCTGTCTCTTGCGCGCCTGCTGTCCAAGCTGTGCCCCTCGTGGCGCGTTTGTCCGGACTCGGAGCAGACCACGGTCACCCCTTCCGCTCCGGGGATGTCCTCGAGCAGCCGCGTGTTCGTGTGTGTTGGTTCCGGGGCGGTCTCGTGACCGTGCTTAATGTGACCTCGCGTCGCCGTCGGGAGGAGCGGCTGACGTTCTCCTTGCCCCGTCTCCGTGTCGGTCATGTTCTCCGGTGCTGGGGAGGGTGGGTTGGTTTGTGGAGCTCTCGTCCTTTTTCGTTTCCATTGGTAGAGGCAGTGGATCGCTGTGATGGTTGCGATGGCCGCGATTCCATACCGCCCAATCCTCTCTTCTTCGCCTGCCTGTTTGTCCACGATCGTGCTGTTGGTTCCGGGTCTGTGCCCGAGTCCCATTGCGTTGGCTGTGCGCGGGCCCAGGGCGAGCGCCCCGCAGAGCAGCTGCCCCCGCCCCATTCGCCTCCCGAGCAGAGCGGCGGAGTAGCAGAGCAGCGCTGTGGGCCAGCTGGGGCGGCCGGGTGTTGCGGTTGCTTGTTTCGGGGGCAGCGGCGGCGAGGGCGGCGGCGGCGAGGGCGGCGGCGGCGAGGGCGGCGGCGGCGAGGGCGTCGCCGGCGAGGGCGGCGGCGGTGAGGGTGGTGATGGCGGCGGCGGCGAGGGCGGCGGCGGCGAGGGCGGCGGTGGCGAGGGCGGCGGCGGCGAGGGCGGCGGTGGCGAGGGCGGCGTCGCGTCGTGGTAGAAACCGCGATGCGCGGTTGACGTAGCCGTGGCCGTTCTTGTGGTCGAAGGGTTGGCCGGGCTGCCCGCGCGCCTTGCAGCCCATGTTTAGGCGGCGGGCCTTCTCTTCGGTGTTGCCGAAGGCGTAGGAGTGGCCAACTGAGGCGGGCGTGCCGCCGCTCGAGGCGTTACCAACGCCCGCCGAGGAGGTCTTGAGGAGGGGCGTCCAGAGCTTTATTTCGTTGACTTCATCGCATCCTTTTTACCCATCTCACAGTAGAGAGGTGTCCGTTTTATTTATTGCAGCCGTAGCCGCAGCCCCATTTCTTGCTGCTCTTCTAGTGTCGGGTAGTGACCAGGGGGTGAGGGGACGGATTGAAGATCCCTCACACCAAGATCGTGCAGGGCGGGGACACATGTCCCTAAATCCCATCTCGTCTCAGAGTTTGGACCGTTTTATTTATTCATTTATTGAATTTGCTCTCAGCTGCTGCTTTATTCGTTGCGTGTTGTGCCATGTGCCGCGCGCGGCGAGCGAGAAAACATAATGCTTAATATGGAACGTCGGTGGGTGCGCGCACTGTCCCTCTGTGTTCGTGTGCGTCGCCCATCTCTCCCTGGAGATGACTGCTCTATTTATTGATTTTCTATGATTCTTTGTTTATTCCATCTCACAGTAGAGGGTTTTATTTATTACACCAGCCACTATCGGAATCCCAGAAGTCCACGCCTGTGTGATGCACACGCCCTGTGAGCGGGGCGGGGTGCGCACTGTGCCTCTGTGTTCGTGCGTCGCCTATCTCTCCTGGAGATGACTGCTCGATTTATTTTTTATTTATTATTTATTCATTAAGCCCAGCACCCGCTTCTCGTACTGCGCGCTCACCCGCTGCTGCCGCTCCTACAAAGACAACCACACGCGTGAGCCTAGGGAGCGGCGTGCTCTGCCCGCACCGCCGCACCGTCGCGCGCCTTGCCTTGGAAGCTGCCTGCCTGGAGCCACACCTGGAACTTGCCGTGGTGCTCGGCGTCGTTTGTATAGTCCTTGCGTTGCGGCATCGATGCTACCGACAAAGAGCCCGCTGGGGGCTCCCTTGCGATTGCCTCGGTGCCCCGCCAGCGTGCTTTTGTCATCATGCTGTCGTGCCTCTCCGCAGCCGCCGCGCTTCCGCGGCCTCCGCCGCGGAAGGTGGGCACCGGGCCGTGCTGTGGCCGCCCCCGTAGCTCGCGAAGCTGCAAACCGGGCTGCGTCCGCTGCCGCGCCGGCGCGCCGCGACCGTCGGCCCGCGGACTCGGTTCTTCGCGGCCTGCGCCGGAGAGTTGGCGGTCGTGCGCTGGGTGGTAATCGTCATCTGTCTCCTCTGCTGTGCTTCTCGCTCGTGCGTCCTTGGGAATTGTGCTGACTTCCTTTCGCCTCCTGTGTTTTCCTTCCTTTCGCCCCCCGGAGGCGGAGGCGCATGAAGCGCGCCTCCTCCTGCGATGAGATCGAGAACGTGCCGCACGTCCTCCAGCAGCACCACACCGCTGGGCTGCGCCACCGGCGGCAGCCGGCGCTGACGCCGCTCGCTCACGGGCACTGCGGCAGGCCGAGCCTGCTCTCGCTGCCCGATGACTGCGTCGCGCGCATCCTCGACTCTCTCGGCGTGGAGCAGCTGCTGCGCGTCACGTGCGTCTCGCGCACGCTCACCGAGCTCTGCATGTCCAACGCCGCGTGGCGCCGCCGCTGCGCCCTCGCCGGCCTCGGCGGCGACCTCCTCGCCGCGGCGCAGAGGAGGGCGGAGAGGAGAGCCGCGGCACGCCGCAGCGGACGGGAGAGCGGCGGGACGGGCGTCGGCGCCGGCATCCCCGCCCACGGCGACGGCGCCCCCGTCGCCGTCGACGCCGCCCCGCTCGCAGGCGGCGACAGCCTCCCTCTGAGTGGCGGCGTCCCTACCACTACCCCGGCGGCGGCGGCGGCGGCGCAAGAGCGGCGGAGCGGCTCCACAGGCGCGGTCGGGGCGCAGCCGCCCGACTACCGCGAGCTCTACTTTGCGGCGTGCTTGTGCGACCACCGCCAGGGCTGGCGCGCGTTTGCGTGGGAGGCCCGGCGGTCTAGAAGCGGAAGACGTGCTCTTGTCGTTCCAACCGGCGCTCGAGAGGACACGGACTCAGCCGTACTCGGCCGTGCTCCGCTGTACTCACTGTACGCGTAGCCCCTCGTACTCACGCGGTGATCTAGACGCCACAACACCGTCTTCCCTGCCCCCTGACGCTGGCGTCTCCAGCACGTAGGACCCGGACGGGACACACAAACAAACAAGCTCTCCCTCTCTCTCTCCGTAGGACGGGCAACACAAACAAACAAGCTCTCCCTCTCTCTCTCTCTCCGTAGGACGGGCTACGCGAGCGCGCGCCCGAGCGGACCGAGGCGCTGCGCCTAGTACCACACCTCCAGAGTACCGAATCCAGCGTGGGTTCAGTCCCGTGGGTGGTGCGGTAGGCGCTGCGCCTTCAGCCAGGAGAGGCCCCTTCCCTCTCGCTCGGC